AGAATGCTGCCGGGACAAAGGGCATAACTCCATTCTATAGCAACACAAGCGAGGCATTGTGTTCATACAGGCGTGCACACATGCGTGCATTCGCAGTTACTACAATAACACAAAAAACTATACTGGAGCAAACTATGCCAGAGGAGTACGCAAGGATGCCAAAGACTCATTCATCAACCGGGTTCCCACAGCAGGCAACCCCCCGCTGGACATCTCCATCACAGGCTGAGAATGGCCAGTCAATCCTGGGACAATGAGGCAGCGGGCAGGAGGGAGTGAGAGAGGAGGTCTCTGCTTGAATGTTCAGCAGCGGCCTGTTGTGTCTACGCCTCAAGGCCGGTTCCCAAAAAACACCTCATTTGGTCTAATCAGAAAGGCACATTTTCAGGTACTCAGCATGTGTACAAAAAACCAATCGGCTTTATGTGAAAGGCAAAGAATTTAACACCCTTTCTAAGTAACAGATGTTACTTTGTGAACCTGTAGTTTAATCCAGGAGCTGTGACAGAAAATGATTAATGGGGCCATTAAAAAAAGAGAAAATCCTTCTTTTCAGCAAACCTTTTATTTTGAAATGTTATCTTTCTCACATTAGGTAATAAAGAAAGTCTTTGCTCTTTTTGTTTTTTTCTAATAAGCATAGTTAAGAGTGAATTATGAACCTATAATTAGCCAGACAACCATTTTTCATATTGCACATTTAATCTGATGACTGGAAAAGAGTAAAAATAATAAAAAAAAGTAATTAAAAAGGTAATTTCCCATTACTTTCAGCTCCAGAAGTTCAAATACAAGGAAGTTTAAAAATGTTGTGGTTCTAGAAAAATGATTAGCAGCAATAACTCTGTGGTTGTTGTGCTCCTAATTTTTTGTTTTCAGTGTTTCTTTGGTTCACTGAGGTTTGCAGACCTCCATTCCTGCACAGGTCTTTTAAGAACCCATAAAGTCTAGGCTTTGCCGAAACCATAGTAACACCTAAATTAATTTCCTCCTCAGGAGTTTGGCTGAAATTTTTAGCCGTCTTTGAGTTAAACCTTTGTGTTCACAAAAATTGCTTCACGTTTGTAAACTCCTGATTTCCTCAGAGGTTTCAACGTCATCATGCCCCTACTGCTGTGTTTGATCGCTTATATATAAGGCCTCATCTGTTCAAACTGCTCTATCCTAATTGTATTCTGGTTGATTCAGATAAAATATTATGAAAACTTAGAGCTGCTTCTATCATGGCATCCCCTTTAAAAAAACATGCTTGGTAAATCTCTTTGTCTTGGCTAGAGCTTAAACTGAGGCCTTTTTTGGGGTATTTTGGGATATCTGAGAGTTTTGAGCAGTCTGATCTGGAGGTGAATTTGCAGAGATGCTTTTTCCTAAGATTAACATCTGTCAGAAATGCTTTTTTAGTGAATAATCAAGTTACTTTCAAATGATGCCCAGTTTGTCTGAAATTATCCTTTAAACATCTTCTCAGGCTGATGTTCAGCGGCAGCTTATTCTGTTATTAATGAGGTCTTCCCTTATTGGCATTGTAGAAACAATTACCTGTATGCAGTAGTCTAGTTGTTAAAAAAGAAATTCAATGAAAGAGGATGGTGATTTTTTTTTTTTGGGGGAATTTTTTTTAATGAATATAGTCTATAAACCTAAAGCAATATGCATGGTATGGTTGTTGCATGTCAGGTATGCCGGTCATAAGCCAAATATTGACAAATATTGAAAGGGCAATGTTATTGCCATTATTATTAATATATAATAGAAATTTTACACATTCAGTACTAAAATGTCACAGGGGATGGAATGAGAGGATGGTCATTTAAAAAGGGAGATGATTTTTAAGATGTTTTAAGTAGGGGGATGCCACCTCCCCCTCATCTCGAGTGCTGCCTGTACGCTCCAGATGAGTTGCATGTTCTGGTACCTGACCATATGTTGCAGATGCTTTGGCCTACAGAGCTGTTCATTTCTACATTTTTAGCTTTATTAATCGTTCAGTTTTCTCCGTTAACCTTAAAAAAACAACAAAAAAACCCTTTGAGTTTGAGATATTCAAACTGTTGGAGTATTTAGCGTTCGCCTGTTGATGTACTGTGCGATTCCCCAATTTCTAAAACACAAACCGGCCTTGTTTTCTGTATGTGGTGACATCTAGAGGCTAAATATCCGACTGAGACTAAATCGGTATTCTTATAAGATTGTTGCAGCTCGATGCCAGCACACAGGAACAAATAAAGACAGTGAAGAAAAGAAATTCATTTTAGAGAGTGGTTTTGGTGCATGCTCAAATAAAAACAATTGAGTATCTTCCCCCTTTTACATATTTCTTGAGTCACTGTTTTGTTCCTCATTCTAACTTTTTTAGCATATATTAGAAAATGAAAAATAAAATGCAAATCTCAGCTTTTTTAATCCATTTTACTTCATGTAACTGAACGAAATCCTGAGCAACTTTTTCTGATGCTAAAAGTAAATTCCTCTGGTGTTACATCATTAACGAAGCATGGTTATGCATCATTGTTTAATGATTAAGTTCTCCTGCTATATTCAGGCCTGATCTTGCCTGACCTGCAGAATCAGTAAATCAAAAACAACTGGGGTGACACCAAAAAATGGAAAAACGAACAAATGATTCCCCCATCTGAAGGGTTTTTATTTCACTTATGACAAAGTTATTATTATTAACATTATGGAGCTAACTCCATGTAACTATCACTGTGTAATTTATGAGGCTTTGGAACTGAAGTCACATTTTATGGTTGAAATAAAAGGTCCTTAAGTGTCCTAGTCAAAGTCTAGATAAAATTGTGTACTGAGCTGCGAATCTAAACAGGCTCATATATAAGTTTCTCCACAGGGACCTCAGTTATGACCGTTTATCGATTGTGCTTCATAGCAATTGTTGTCAATAAGCGTGGATCCACCAGCAATTAGATTTAAGAAGACATTTTTCCACATAGACCCAGGTTGTTTTGAATACATCTTAAAACATCTGATAAATGAGTTTTAGCATATGTATATAATTTGTATGATACATTTTTTGGGGGGAGGAATTGACTGGATGTTTGCTGTGCTGCAGACATATGCTAGTGAAACATAAGAGGTCAAGAAGCAGAGAAATGTCTGTAAATAAAGCAGGATTTCAACTTTTCTCCACCTGTTTGTACTCATTAACCCGTTACTCTGCTGTCTAGAAATGGCTCAGTAGAAACAAGAGAGGCTCAGGAATTAGGCCATCTGGGTACTAGAGGCTATTCGGTCTCGGCTGTGGTCTGTGAGGCGAATCGAGGCAGAGAGACAGGTGAGAAACCTTTGACCCAGAGCGCTGCTGGACATGCCAGGAATTATTCACACTTCCTGGCCAAACGCGTCACGTCGCGAGCAGAAAGCATGCTTCTAAACCCAAACAGCATGTCCTGGTCAGGGGTCCCTCTGTTATGGTCTGCATTATGTGCAGCGGTGACCGAAGCACGGGAGACTGATGGATGATTTAATCTGAAAGGAACCAGCGGAGAGGAACAGGGCGGGTTGATGTGTGTGAGAGGGGGCAGGGAGATAAGGATATTTTAGTCGAATTTATGTCACCCATTTCAAGACCCGTGCAATGATATCAGCTGCTGTTGAGTTGTTGTTCAAGTGATTGTGTCTGGGGTCGGCTGTACTCAAAATCAAACTCCCAACGACAGTAAAACAGCTCCAGGCAACCTGGATATTTGAGTTTTGTGGCTTTTAACAAGTTTTCCTTTCATGATGCCTTGAATTTAATTATTTAATTCCATCCATCTTCAACTCTAACCAGCATCCACCCAGCATGACACTTCCACCACCATGTTTCAGAGTGGAGAAGCTGATTGAGGATGTTTACTTGTAATGTGTGTGTGTGTTTTTTTTTTTTTTGCCTTTTCTCTCTATGGGCTGGGTTAGATTCTCCCTCCTGAGCTGTGTAAATCTGCAGCTCCTCCAGATACTTTGTGATCTTCAGGATTGTGTTTATTCAATATCCAAGTTCTACCTAACCTCCAAGGCCTTCGCAAAACAAATTAAATTACAGACACACGTCAAAAACGATCTAGAAATAAGTAAAATTAAGTGTATTTACCCTTAATTTAAGCAGGTAAATACGATGATTTGCCAATGAAATTAGTATCTTTACTCTTAAAATAAGATAATTAGATAATATGAACTTCAAATAAGACAATGCAATTGTTTTTTCTTATTTTAAATGTAAATTGTCTTGTTCCATTGGCAAAGTGTCTCACTTACGTCCTCAATTGGAGAAAAAATGCACTTTAAGAACAAATTACTTGTTTAGATTTCCATTTTATGCAGTGCAGGCTTAATTAGGTGACTTCTGAGTCCATTTATTAGCTTATGCTGTAAAGCTTTTAAGAGTTATGCTTTTGTGTAAAGATATTAGACTAAAAAGGGCTCTATAAGATTGTGTACCGCACCTCTCAGATCATCTTTTGTAAAGCAATATTTTAATTTCACCTAAGAATTTCTTTTGTGTCGATTTGTCCCTCAAAACAACTCAGTTTGTGATTTTTAATATCCAAACTGCAAGGAAAACTAAAATTTTTGCTGCAACATATTTGACCAAGGCAGAAAAACAATGTGTGTGGCCTAAATAAAAGATATTTGATATTTAACATTATGCTGCTGCGATAAAAGATGGAATTAATTACCAGGCTGCAGTAACTGTGGAAGCTGTCGTATACTTTATAGAAACATAGGAGTTAAATCAAATTTGTAATTGGCTGGATTTATTCTTTAATATTACCATAAACAAGGAAAAAAAGGAGGTGAGCAACAATATTCATAGATATATACAAATAATACTGTACATGGGCACATTTAACTGAAGAATAAGAACTTTTTGAGTCCAAAGGGAGTGTATTCATATAAAACAAATCACAATTTATTGTGATATAAACATTAAAAGGTTCTTAACCTTCAGAAAAGCTTCAGAGCTGAACTGAATCTGAACTGTGCCTCGTTCAGCCATTTTCTTTTTTTTTTTTGGAGCGGGGATACATTCTGATCTGATCACAGGCCCACCTGAACCGGCTACGATTTAACCACCTGCAGTGGCTTGTATGGCTTGCTCAGCATCACTCAAAATGTTTTTAACACAGTCTCTTCACACAGGGTGCAGATGTGCTGCGTACGCAATCCACTTCAGGAAACTGACTCAGAGGGGGTCTATCCGTCCTCTTATTAGTGCGTCCGTGTTGGGTTCGTCCATCTTAGGCTAAAGTGCTGCAGAGGAGGAAGAGCAGTTCTGCATTTCAGGTGAAATCTGCTTGTACTCGAATGTAATCATGCAAGAAGTTTGCACAGGTGCAAGAGAGATATTTCTCTATGAAATACCTCCAGGAGTGGCATTGCACTGTTGTTGGACAACAGCGGGAAAACTGAGGGATTCTATCATCTCAGTTCAGTCCCTCAAAAACGTGCTCCCACAACAAGAGCAGAAACAATCCGTCATGTCTCTGTTTCCTTTTACCAGTTGCAGTCTTTTTTTAGCAGTGTGAGGACTTTGCGTCCCAGGCTGGCCTTCCACGGCTTGACGAAGCTCTTCATGTTCACCAGGAGCCGCCCCTGCTTACGGTCCAAGTGACCTGCCACTAGGTACTCCACACCTGTTGGACAAAACACTGGAATTAGGTCAGTTCATAAACCCTCATTAAAAAATCTTCAAAACAAGGAACTTTGCTCTATTAGGACCTGGATGATTTGCTGTATAAATGAAACCAAAAGCAAAGCAGCCCAGAGCATCATACAGCCATCATCACCATAAAAGCTGTTGGTTAAATAATGTTATAGTGTTAAATTTAGTCATTTCAGACAGTTTATTTAATTTTTTCTCATTATTTGATGGGAAAATCTTGATTGTGGAGATGCTCTCTGTAAAAGTGAAGCCTGCACCCTTCCCTGAATGCTTTTGTCCCATTTATTTTATATTTTTAAATTACGAAGTCTATACTGCATGGCTTTAGAGGTTTTTCTTTTGTCACCTTCTTGATGCGTTGTCGATACGCTTTTTGGCTTATCTGTGTAACACTACTTGTACTGAAATATGTCAGTGACTCATATTCTTATCCATCCCTAACTTAGTTTCTTTTTAAACTTATTTTAGATCAATACGATTTTCTTTTTTTTTTTTTTTTTTTTTAGAAATTGTAGCCTAATTCATGTTGTTAAAAAAGGTATCTATTTATTGCTGGGTTTGCAGTAATTGTGTCCAGGGGTGGCTAGTATTGATAAAATTATTGTCATTAAAGATCTCACCAATCAAAATAAAGGAAGATTTTTTTTTTTTTTATTGATTCACATTTTCTTTGATCTAAAACAATATAAAAAAAAGACAAAGTTTGTCTTTCAATCAGAGAAACTAAAACCAAAGGGGATCAGAGTAAAGGCGGCTGAATAAAATTCAAGCAACACTTTACAGACCTTTATTTATTTTTTCCCAAAAATATGTTAATAGAATGATCTGTATTTTTTTTCCCTCGACTTCCCTGTAATGTGTAACTTTGTGTTGGACTATCACACAATATCCCAGTTAAATGCACCAGTTTTACTGTTGCAACAAAATGTGATAAACTGGGTGAATGTTCAGTGTTCAGTGAAGGTCCTGACTTTGAGCCAAACACCTCCTTTTTTTGGCTCCATTGTGTGGGTTAGTGTCTGACCTGGGTTAAGGATGGGGCAGGTGCATCCCCGAGTCGTCCAGGACTCCGGGTAGAGCGTGACCCGACCTCTCTGTATCTTCAGCTTGGTGTTGTGGCTGAAGACCTTTTGAACTTTGGCCTCTACCTCAGCGTGGGAGCCTTTATCGTGGGCAGACAGCACTTTCACCTTTAGCACTAAAGGTCAAGAAGGAAAGAAAACAGATGCTGAAACCGAAACACAAACTCAGGAGTCATCTTCCTCACATGGGAGGGCTGTTCTGTGGTGTTGATTATTAACTAAAGCGGCTTTATAAGGTCAAGCTATGTCTTTTATTGAAACATTTTTAGATCTTACCGCAGAAATTCAAACCTAAGTAAGTTTTAAGTCTTCACTCACCAAATCATTTAATTGGCTGTTTATGATAAATTAATGATAAAATAAATAAATCTGAACCTCTGCTTTAGAGCCTGAAAAGCAGGAAAGAGCCGGGAAGTAGATTAAAAACAAAGTGAGCATAAAACAACACGGCTGTAAAAACAGAAATAAGTTACTCATTTAAAACCCCACTTTAAAAAAGATACAGACAAGGCGTTTACATAACAAACGTAATGTAATAGTTTTAGTTTGCAAAGCTGCAATACAACTGTTATGACGAGAGATCACCTGAACAAGTTAGTAATAAAGGCATAAATTTAGATTTTTTTTTTTCTGAGTTGGAAAGAGCTCTTGTGGAGCTCATGTTATAAAACGGGGCAAAAAATTATTTCTAAGTATGTTTTTGATAACTTGATCTCAGAAATCAAAATTTTTCCTTACTGATTTGTCCAGTAAGGAGAAATGTGCAGTAGTTTGGAAACGGCACCCTAGTCCAGGATTTAAATGCACTCTGAGGGGAACCAAGTCTGTGTCGTTTTTTTGTAGCTACACATATTTTAGTTATAATTGAACTCTTTGATTGTTCCATTAATTCCACAAGACTTCATGGTCTGGAAAATGAAGAAAAAATATTTAGGAGTGTAACTAAACCTACTATGCTTCTCGTCTCACATCAAACATCTACAACGGAGTATTAGGGCCAGGCTAGAGATTTTAAAATGTTTTTTATTTTCAGAATAAAGTTGTAATATTACCAGAATGAAGTCTTCATACCACAGCTCGTTTCAGAAAGAAAGCTTAGAGCTCCGACCAGCATATGATGGTCAACCAGCACCAAAAAACAACAACTTGAGTCCACTTTGACATCCTGCCCAATTTGACGATGGTGCTCAAAGATTTTCTTATTTGTGAAACCAGAGCCAAAGAATAACTTCATTCGTCTCGACATTCCTCATTTTAGGGAAGACAGTGCTTGAGTGTAAGAGTTGTCATAAAATATAACTTTATTCTTGTAATTTTATGACTATTCTCGTTGCGACTTTATTCTCGTAATTCTACGACTTTATTCTCGTAATTTTACAACTTTCTTCTCGTTGCAAATTTATTCTGGTAATTTTACGACTATTTTCGTTGCGACTTTATTCTCGTAATTTTACGACTTTATTCTCATAATTTTATGACTTTCTTCTTGTAATTTTACAACTTTATTCTCCTACTTTTACGACTTTATTCTTGTACTTTTATGACTATTCTCGTTGCGACTTTGTTCCAATAATTTTACGACTTTATTCTTGAAAAAGAAATATTAAATCTTTAGCCTGGCCCTAATACTCCTTTGTAAACATCAGAACTGATTGGGAAACTATTCAATTTTATAGTAGATTAAATTAGAATATTTTCTTATGTCTAAAGCTAAGCAAAATGGACTAAGCTGCTGCTTTTATAATTCACTACCCTTAGACAAAGGTCCATAGTTTATCGAAGGGTTCTGCAACATGCAGCTCTGGACTCTTTGAACCGTTTACAATGGCTCTTAATAGTTTCTAATAAAATTAACTAATGTACTATATATAAAAGCTTTAGTGGTTTTTATAAAGGATAAATGAATTGAGATTTCAAAACAAAATGACATTCAAAGAACCAGAAATATGTTTTAGTGCAATTTTACTTTTAATTAGCATGGAAATTGTGTTGTGTTTTTTTGTTTTTTTCCATCAAATAATATCCTGTAGGACCAAAAAAATCAATGCGTCATCTTCATGTTTTTCCTTATTTTATAAGGCTAAAAATACAATGAACTGTTTATGTTGGAAGATATTTAGCTAAATATTAGGCTGTGTTTTAGTAAAAATTACTGTAATTATTTTGCTGCTGTAAACGATCCGGGGCTAAATGCATCTTTGAACCGTAAAGGTTGCAGACCTCTGGTTTATCATTATTTTTTGGTTTGCATGCTGCAACCATTTCATTAAAATCACATTTAGGTTTTCTGAGAAGAATCAAGTTCAGGTGACTGATAGCAACTCTAGTATCCTCATGAATGTCTTCTATAAGCAAGACTTGGATTTGGAGATGTTCTTGGTCATATTGTTTTGTTTAAAGATCAAATAGATCTTCACCTTCTTTACAGAAAACGCAACACCTTTTTGTTTTCACAGGATTTTCTGATACTTAATCAAATAAATGGAGGTTTGCTGTTACTTATGGCATTGTTTCTCAACCTTCAAGTTTAGACCCCTAATTCAACATGCACCTCTGTCCATGACCCCCGACCCAATCCCCGGTCAGTATATTTATGTTGCACTTACGGAATTAAACACACTCAAACACACTTCAGATATAAGTCTTCATCATCTTATTTTGAAAAAAGAGATTTTGAAAAAGATAAAGCCGCATCAAGAGACCAACTTTCTGAACTGTCGCTACATCATATCTTTTTGCGGTGAACAAATAACACAAACATTATCTTTGTATGAAATAAAACAATAACAGTGTGTGCTAAACTTTAAGAAAACACATTAGAGAACAGTCCATGTTTGAGCTCTCAGAAATGTAGATATTTAAAATTAAAGATGAAAAATAACTTCCGGGTCAAAGCAAAGTTGTTTTGCTGCAACTATTTAAGGCGATGGCTGGCCTGCTTGTTTGAACAGAGCAACTACTTCACTTTATGTTAGAAACGTCAAGGACTCTGCGGAGCCGTGATCTGTATTTTTTATTTTTTTTTACTGTATTTCAGTGCAGAAAACATCTTTGGTATGTGATAAGATTTGTGGATGCAAACAACATTTAAGTTGCAGCTTTTTACAGTGCTGCCTACTCTGTTGCTATTGACAACCAGAACTCTTCCAGCAACCATGCAGAGAACCAGCAATCTGTAATGTGCAATAATGTAATAATCAGAGGAGAGATCCAGAAGGTCATCCTGCAGCTGTGATGACTGACTGACGTGATGAAGATGGTAAAAAAAACTGGCATTTCCTGTTGTACTTTTCCAGCCTTTTATAATTTGGGCAACATTTATTGAAATGTTAAAACAGGCTCCTGAGGTGAGAGGCAATAAATAATTTCATAGTTTGAATGGTTATGTCATAGTTCTCCATAAAGTATTCAAGCTCCAGGAACATTTAAACATTTTACCCTCCCACATGAAACCCACTGGTCCTGCATTCTCTTAAATACTGTGACCTTACATGACATGTTTATTGCTGTTTTGGTGAAGCTGGTTATGGCTAACCGTAACTAGTTCGGAGTAATAAAATGCCACTTTTAAACCGGCCGCTCTCCATGCTTCAAATGTCCTGTCGGAAGTGACATCAATTTTGCACATTTAGATTTTTCCAAAATGGCGGCCCCCAGAAATCATCTTGTGACCCCAACAAGGTTCTGGAGTCTAAGGTTGAGAATGGCTGCCTTAGGAAACAATGATGACCAGAGCATCACTTGGCCACCACTATGCTTTACTGTTATTTCTAGATGCCTCATTCTTGCAAATCCAAACATACTGCAGATCCATCAACCGAAAAAGAAAGAATCCAAGTTTTGATTAATAACAGAATCCAAAACCCTGCTTGTGTCATCTACGTATAAACAGTAGCTGTGAGCAAATGGGAGACGTCTTTCCTTGCTCGCTTTGGTCAGCAGTGGTAGACGACATGATCCTTTCAGCATTAGTCTCAATGTGAAACTAAAACCACAGATTCTTGCTGCACATCTTTTCGAACAGCTTCTAGTTGGCTAAACCTCCAGCTCCACCTTAAGAGGTTTCAGAGCCTTTGATATCTTTGTAGCTTTTTTTCCTTCTTGAGCAAGGAAATGATCTCTGTATTCCTAACATGTAATTAAACAGTCTAAGTATTTAACTTTATCCGAGGCAAACCTGACTGGTGCCTGAGACCACGCCTGGTTTGTAAATGTTTGCTTTTATGAAGAATCGTATGCGGGGGTTGAATAATTTGGAAACTGCAAAAGGAGTTGGTGTAGAATGTAGACAATATCTTCAGAACATTAGTTTTTATTTAATCTTTTAAACTTTCCTAGTGACATTTTTTTTTTTATTGCAAGCACTGAAATTGTTTTTTTGTCAGAAAACCTACTTAACAAGTGGGGCCCAACTGTATCCGAACCAAAACAAAATCCTTTTCTTCTTTAAATTTATTAAATAAGCAGAAAAGTGTCCAAGACTAATAAAGAATGAATTCTTGCAGAATCTGAAACAATGAGACCCCTGATAATGGGTTAAAGGTGGATACTTGCTCTCTTACCGTATCCGTAGTTCATGGTACAGAAGAGTTTACTGTTGGTCAGAGTTTGCTCTTTGCACTCGCACTTCTCTGCAGGGAAGAGACACAAGCACAATTGTAGCATAATCAAATAACGTGTGTGTGTGTGTGTGTGTGTGCCGTGTTCCTGTGAGGTCCCAGACAGCATATGTGGCGTCTGGAGAATGCAAGTAAAGTATGTGTCCAGTGAGGAATGTGCTCATAAAAGCTGTGGTTACATGGAGGCAGTGACGAAAAAAAGCAGCACTGTTCACACTCTGAGGTCACCTGAAGGATTTGACCATCAGTGATCCGTCACTGGATTTCTTGGATTGACGTAAAGGGATGAATCTCACCTGAGTAGTGGAGAGCAGAAAAAAGTTCATGTTGGCCGAAGATCCTGACTGGTTCGCTCGAGTTTCCATCCAGGTTGTAGAGTTCCAGGTCTGAGCTGTAACACAACATCACAGATTGAACCTATATGGCTGGAGAACACATGAGAGACAAACAAAGACTAGGACACCTAGAATTCCTGCAGTTATTTTGTTCCCCAGAGATGGAAAGAGTACTAAAAAATTGTAATTGATTAAAAGTATCTTTACTTTGCCTAAATTCTACTTGGAGTAAAAGTAAAATTACCTATCTCAAAATTTACTGAAGTAAAAGTACAAAATTACTTCATTTAAAATGTAATTTGAGTAAAAGTTACTTAGTTACTTTGAGTTATTTAATGCAAAAAAGGATGAGTCATGAATCAAATTGACCACAAGGTGTTTTAATCGATTTCAAGGCATATTTCAGTGGACATCCACACTTGCAAAAGATCAGCTGGGCTAAAGAACATACTTCTTCACAGCACAAGGACAGTCACAACCTGTACCATAAAGTGCAAACAATTTTCAATCCTACTGTCCAACAGACAACACCATGATAGGAATAAAGAAATTTAAACTACATTTTAAAGTTTTTTTTTAAATGCACACAAAATTAAATGCCCAAAAGATACCAGAAATCAAACTAAAACGCAACAGGATCCCATTGTTATTAACAAGCTCCTCATTTACTGATTTTAACTGACACTTGTTTTTACATCTAATGTTTATATGTTTGAATTGTGTAAATAAAGTGCTGTTAAAAGTCAAAAGTCTTCTTCTATTTTTTAATGGTGATTAAGTGTCGGTTCCAAAACACAGGGGTTTAAATTTCCGGCCTCATTTAATTTTTTCACCATTGATATTTGTTTTATTTTTTTTTACTCAGTAACGTGAGGGGGTTTTAAATGTAGCGAAGTAAAACTACTTAGGTTAAAATTTACTCGGGTAAAAGTAAAAATTACATATTTCAAAAACTACTCAGAAAATTACAAATTACTCATAAAAAGTACTCAATTACAGTAACGTGAGTAAATGTAATTCATTACTTTCCACCCCTGTTGTTCCCACATTTGCAGAAAGACCAAAGGAGATGTAGGATTTAAAAAAAATCAATTGTGCACCTTTTTGGTTGGTAATCTAATAAATGTGACAAAAATCACAAAGTTAAGAAGTTGTTAATAGTTTACCAAAGCACTATAGTTGATTGAATTACAGCCTGACTATCTGGTTCTATTTAATAAAGATTAAATGAATGAATTTAAGCCAAATGTGTGCAGCACTACATTTATAATTGTGACTTTATATAGATTTGACCTGTTTCTCTTGTAAAATTACATCTATTGTAAATAAGTAAATAAATGCAATATAAAACTGAAAAAAAATGATTAAATAGAGGATTGTTGAACATTATTTTAGAAAACATTACCATAATCACTTATCTTCTGCTAGCTCTTTATTTTAAATATTATAGGGTGATGAGTTTTATCACTTACCCATACATGCAGTCCCCAGTAAATGGGTCACAGTCTCCTGCACAGTCACATGGGCGACAGCCGTATTCATGAAAACCCCAGTATCCCACCATGCATCGGTCGCACTGCAACCCCCCGACTCCCGGTTTGCAGATGCAGTTTCCGTTGGAAGGGTCGCACATGGAGCCATCGGTCACGTGAAAGGGCATGGAGCCCATTGGGTTACAGGTGCATGCTGAAAAGGAACAAAAATTCCAAAGTTTTTTATTAAAATCATATCTGTAGAAACCAATGACCAGAAATTGTTTAGTGGTACAAACAAATGTGTATTTGTAAAACACAAACCAACTTGGCAATAAACACATTCTGAAGGTCTTTTAGTTTCATTATAATAACAGTTGCACTATTGTTTGCATGGTGTTTCAGAAGACAAAGCTTGTTATCTTTCTCTTATCCAACAAACGTTTGTAGTTCATTTATGACTTAATAACCATCACAAACACAGCCTGCTTACTTTGACCTGAAAACAAAAAGTTTTTGAATGTCTGTCCAAAACCTAAATACCAGCCAACATTTGTTCAAGGGCAAAAACACCCAAGTCCACACCTTACCGCTCTCTTTGTATACTCTTGGTTTCCCTCATGTTGCCTAATTGTCTGCTAATATGGTGTCCTTTAAACAACCTCTAAAAATAATGTTTTTACACAAATGTAATTCCACCCAGGTTTTTACCTGCAGTTTGAGAAAACATGCATAAATCTGTTATAATGTTGAGGGAAAAACACGGAGCCAAGAAGTGGAAATGGGCAGAAGGGTCTGAAGCTATTCCCCTCTGATTAATGGGGTTTGGTTTTTTTTACTACATTTAGCACCAGAAAAGTAAATAAATCTGTTTGGTTGTTGTAAACAAGCATTTTTGTGAGTCAGAAGGTCTGTTTACTTCCCCCTTAATGGTGCCTCAAATGTAATATATCGTGCCACATAAATGTACTCTATTTTATATTGCAAAAGACTGCTAGTAACTTAGCAATTAATTTTTTTGGGGGGTATTAAAATGAAAATCTGCTCTGTAGTAAGACACCTCAGAGTTTGATGATTTTTTTCCCTCCCTGAAACTAATGACCTCCTTTGTGGCTCTGAACCAGAGTTTGGAGGCTGTGGATAATTTAGAGCTGTTGTTTATAACAGGCCTCTTCAGTTGCATTTTTTTTTCTTTTATTTAATATTAGCAGATAATGTTTACACTTCTCCGCCTTCCTAAGAAAGTCTCTAGTGCTTTGTAAAGGACCAACCATAAAAATACAATCTTTGCAAGATGGTTAAACATAAATACTGCTCTCTGCATCATCGTCCACCATGGTTGTTGTTTTTCCTGCCGCTTCTTCAGAGAAAGACCCAGAATAGTGACGTTTGTCGGGTATTAATGGCGTTCAGGTCGGATGAGTGCGACCTGGCCGTTCAGAAACAGGTCGCATTTGAAAAGATCAGATTCGTATCGGATTCAGGACCACATAGCCAAGTGGCCTGGGTCACAGTGGAAAATATCGGATCTGTGTTGTTCAGACCGCCATGATCAGACACAGGTTGCAAATGGGCTAAGAAATCGGATTTTGGTCACTTCAGGCTGCTGTGTGAACGTAGTCTTAGTTGCTCCAGGAAGTAGCCATGGGCACATTGTCAAAGAGCATCAAAGTTTTTCACAAAAAAAAAATTCCCAACGTTACCATCAGACACTCGGGCAGATGGACCAACAGTTTAATGTTTATGCCCAATTCTGAAGCTACCATCAAAAAGACCCAACTGAAATCAAAACTGATGGCTCTTTTAGTCTTTTTAAAATTAACTGATTATGTGTGAACTGTAGCCTTGGTTTGCTTTGCTTAGCTGAGGGGTGGTACCTGGTGAGGGCTCTGTTGCTTTAGCCAATCTTCAATGTTCAAGGTCAACACATGAATAATTTAGTATTTTTGGGATCATTTTCTGTAAATAGAACGATAATTTAGATAGAGAACTGAAGTGGTCTTATCTAAAATGCCAGTTTATCTCTTGCCAATAACCATATCCTGGTCAGTCTCTTAAAATAATTTCCTGCTCATTCTAAAGCTACGTTTTGAACCTCAACAAATTGTCCTGTTCGCATTTAGAAGCCTAAATGGATGCCGTATAACTGCGTGACGATGTACCAAACCAATGAACCAAACTATTATCGTTTTTTTTTGAGCGATGACAAATTTATCCTCGTCAACATTGACCTAGACTGTTATTCAGATCAGCCACCCAGGGCGGCGAAGATAAGAGAAACTTTGTCATAAAACTGAGCTCAATACAGTATCCATAAAATCATAAAGATATCACATCCGTATACCTAACAGGCACACAAGGTGAAAAGGCTGGTAATATTTAACAGAGACTACACCTTGGTTCGAGGTAAAGCCCCAACACGTGCGCTTGGTGATGGTGTTGTGAGTTTGCATAACAGAGTGAGAATTATTGAGCACATGAAGAGGTCATGGCTTAACTGTGAGTAAATATATGTGCATCTAGAAAAGCTGTCAGCTCTAAAGGGGCAGACAATAAGAGCTTCATGAGCGTGACATGATGAGGGACCTGCCTGAGCAACCAACCAACCGCCGCAGAAAATAATCACAATCTTTCAAACACACACTGTAACCCTACCTTTACTTAATCTGTTTGGGTGTGCATTTGTTCGAGCATTTCTTTTCAGGGCCTCTCAGCGGTTGGTATGAAAAAAATGTTCCTCAGAACAGAGGGAAATTCCTCTTTTTGTCAGGGAAACTGTAGTCTGATTGCACAACCTATAGCCTCATCAGTGCTCCAAGCATGCAGACGCTCCTCTTTCCCCCCCATCAATCACCCGTCTGTCAGTTAACACACAGGTGAGACCAAGGCTGAGACCAGTATGCACAACATGAAACCTAATCACGAGAATTCAGTTCTGACGTTGTTTCAGCTGCAGGTGATGAATCCGTCTGGGAACTTATCTGAGAAGCAGAGATACCAAGAACACGCATCATGGAAAACTCCCAGTTAATTTGCCATTGATCAGTCCTTGTTGATACTGAGTGCTAAAGAGGTCAGGTCTAAATTCCACATGCGGGGGCAGGAAGAAAACATTCATCATTTTTGGTTTACATAAAGACTTTGAAACACAATGTTAAAGTTGTAGGGAAACAACCATGCATTTCTGAATTTATACACCAGTGAATAAATTGAATGTGATTGGTCAATTATCAAGGGGGCGGGATTGTTGTGGTGGAAGGTTCGCAAGCAAGTTTGATTGTGGCCGGTTTCTCGGAAGCATCTTACTAACCAGTTAGCAACTTAGTGGTAGTAGGTTCCCAATGGGAAATTCCATTGGGACCAAGTAGCACTAAATTGGTGACGTCAAAACGACGCTGTCAAGGAACGCTATGGACAGCGGAAACATGCAAGAGGAGGAGAGTTTAGTGTCGGAGGTCGTGGATTAGTCTCCTCTGTCATCCATTTTTTATTTAGAGGAGGAAAGCGTGGACGAAGATGTTGTGCAAGGGCGGCAGAAGCTTGGTTTGGTGTAGAAGGCTTACAGTCGTACATGTTTGAGCCCTTGCCTCGCAACGCTGCCAGTTCTGTTAGCTCTACGCCTGCTGATTACACAGACGTCCATCCCCGTGAACACTGGGACGGAACTCAATGGGAAAGGAAAGGATTCTTATTTCAACTGTTGGGTATATTAGCTGCGACATATGAATCAAGATACTATGACCGAAAAAAATTGACAGATGACCGTTGATATACGATTGGTCGAATTTAGGTGTTCAGGCTGACGTATAACTAACTGGCCTGCAGAAGATAACGGGAAAAAAAACAGATTTTAAGACAGGATTATTTTATTTTTATATATATGTTTAAGGCAGAATGATTTAACATTTAAATATGATTTCTCTATGACTATTAGATATTGCACGATTTTGTTGAAAAAAATCAAGATTGTGATTTATTTTATTTTGCTTCTGCTCTAACATGTTTGCCTCCAGAGTTTGATTGTATTTATGGTGTTGAAAGCTCTCTTGTCTAGAGTCTATTGTCGCAGGATTTTACTGTAGTGTGGAAAAGTGCTTCCTTCTAGCGTGGATGTGCACGCTAGTCGCAGCTTTCTCTTCACTTATATGTTATGGCAAACCCACTTTAAAGGTTTTACTGTCACCTAAAGGACTGGGGGGAGAAAATTTGTGTCTTACACTTGTAACTGTTAATGTGGCAGAAAAATTTAGTGCTTCTGCGTTTTGAAATTGCATATTTTAACTGTTATTATGTTGCAGATGCAAAAGTATATTCAGACCTATCAGAAATGCTTATTATATTCCCAGACCTTGGATATGTTATACCTTGGTCACAGCTTTATCCACATAATGCATTCATAAATGCTCAAAAAACAAGAATACAATTAATAATTTGGAATAGCAGTTTCTACACTGTGAAAACAACCTAAAAATGAGTAAAAACTTCTTAAGATATAGTTGCCCTTAATTTCAGTAGGAAAATAAGATGATCTGCCAATGGAATGAGTATTTTTCCCCTTAAAATAAGATAATTAGACATTATGCTTTAGAAGTTAGGGATTGCATTTTTTTTTCTGATATTTTTTTATTATTTTAAATGTAAATTGTCTATTTCCACTGGCATTTACTGGCTCAATTTAAGAAAAAACAAACACTTATTTTACGAAAAACTGACTTACTTAAATTTCAATCTTTTTCAATGTAGGTATATTTTCTTGGAAGCATAATGTAGGATCAAAACACTCTTTGTTTTCATTTCATATTAACCAGCTTTCTGCACTGCTTAAACCTCTATCCGTAGACTGAAAGATACATACATCACTACTTGCATACATACATAGATAAGATGGGCTGAAACGCATTGAAAACTTAAAAATCCAAGTTTGAAAAGTGAGACGACTGCATATAGAACCAGTGTCTAACAAACACTCTTGGATATCATCTGTGAGACGTGCAAACTGAAATTTTTCCAGCATCCCTAACCTGACTGATATCATCCCCGTCTCTGTGTTATGTAACGGTCTGCTGCGGTTTGATTGTTTAGAACTCGATGAGATGCACATTGATGAACATAAACACATACGTGTGGCAGCAGGAATGAGCTCACTTGGTCAAATCTGACAGATAATCAGAAGGTGAATGTAGCCACCGCTGTTTATGGATGACTATCTCATGTTTACTTAAGTCGCCTCATCAGCGGAGGGCAGCATTCCCCTTTATGACCCCCTGCAGGAGAAAGGACCCTCACACATTTACAACTCCTGACAATGATTATCCCCAAGCTACCTGAGCTCTGAGTCACGTCTGAAAAATGGCAAAACATGCCGACGTGGACAAGCGGGAGCCTTGTGTCGAGCCTTGAGTCAAGAAGGAGGAATGCCGCCATCTGATGATTAACTATGATGTTAACTGTGGATAAAGCGTGGGCTGTCTGCCGTGTCTCACACACACACAATCGGAGTCGGGTACCCGTCAGGACTGAGCGTAATCCAACAGGTCCCGGCTTGTGATCTCAGCATTCTTTCAGAGAGAGTGCTATGCCAGCGTAGGTGTGTACGAGCTTAATGTTTTGATTCACAAGGGCAACATTTTGTCAGACAGGGTATAATTAATCATGCCCATCAGTTCATGCTCTGAGTTCCAAGGTGTCCTTTTACCAAGCTATTTGCTTTAAGACATTTAGAGGATTATATTTCTCAACTCATTTAAAAAAAAATAACATTTGTGCCTTTAAATATGTTATTTTATGCAGCATCAATATTTTACAAAGCTGTAAAAAAGTATTTGGCTTCAAACAACTTTCTTCTTTTTTGTCATTTAAGTTGTGGAGATCAAACTTTTTAATATCTGATATGCTGGTACTCTTGCAAATTATCATTTTAATTGTTGCACAAGCGATTTGTCTTATGGATAAAAAGTAGAAATGGTAAATGGCATGTACTTGTATAGCGCCTTTACTTAAGTCAGGAGACTTGACCAAAGCGCTTTACACTACATCCATTCACCCATTCATACACACACTCACACACTGATGGTGGCAAGCTACATTGTAGCCACAGCTGCCGTGGGGCTCACTGACAGAAGCGCGGCTGCCGTACACAGGCACCACCGGGCCCTCTGACCACCATCAGTAGACGGTGCAGATGAAGTGTCTTGCCCAAGGACACAACGGCACTGAAAGTCTTAGTCGGGTCTTGAACCGTCAATCCTTCGATTTCAGGCAAACTCCTACATCCAACGCCACTGTCGCTTATAGAAATAATAGAAATATTGAAATAGATCAAAGTAGATCAAATAAATTAGAAAAATTAAGCAGAGGCATCAGCTGAACCCTGTCAAAGTGAGCATCCCTTTACATTTGGCATCGATATATATAATTCTTAAAAGAACAGCAGATACAGACGGTGGTTGTAGTATGATGGTTTGGTTCTGCTTTACTTCAAGATATTGCTGATATTAATCTAATAATTAAATTAGCTCTACAAGATGATCCTGACAGAGAATTTTTTTTTTTTTAACTTCTCTTGTTTTTTTATGCATCTGTGTGTCGTTACTAACCTCCCTCCCCCTTAATGTTAACACCTTTTAAAAGCCTAACCAGGGACGAAGGCTGCAAATTAGCCCATGGCTACAAGCCTTATGTACTTGGACATCGGCCACCTGTTTGGTTGCAATGTTTAATTGTACTGACCCTGTCAAATAAACAAATAAATAAAAAATGTTTGATTAACAGCTGCTGACTGAAAGCCTAATAAGGTTTTGCAAATAGTTCACCTTGTCATGGCTGGAAGTAGATGTTAGCGTTTTTCAGGTATGTGGTAAAAAACTGCAGGCACCAGTATAATAAAAGCAAACTTATTTTGCTTTCATGTTTCGACATTTTTTGTTAATTAAAGCGTTAAACTGTTTCAGTGGAGTGATCATAGCGCTCTGCATCAGCTGTGCTGTGTCTGTCTCCCTGCCAGCTTCTCTGATTGGTCCACTAGAAAAACGATCTAGAAATAAGTAAAACTTTCTTAAAATAAGAGTATTTATCCTTAATTTGAGCAGGTAAACAAGATTATTTTCCAATGGAATGAGTATTTTTATTCTTAAAATAAGATAATTAGATAATATGCACTTGAAATAAAACAATGCAGTTGTGTATTCTTATTTTACATGTAAATTGTCTTGTTTTACTGGCAAAATGTCTCTTTTTCGATCCTCAATTCAAGAACAAATGCAGTTATTTTATGCAAAAAATGACTTATCTAGATTTAGCTTTTCCAGTGTTGGTTCACGTCAAGCAGCAAAAGTTAAATTTTTCCAATTCCAGCAGCAGCAGCTGCTTGTGAAATGCGTTACACACCTCAGATGCTCAGAAGCTCGTGCGGCGCTGCTTTGGCTGCTCAGATGCATCAAGATCCGCTGCCCTAACTGCTCTAGACGCGCTGCAGGACCTTTTAATGCGCCCTGATGTGCATCAACCATTGACTTTGCATGTAAACCAGCTGTTTCTGCTGCTTCAGTCGCGTGCGGTCTGAAAGTAGCTTTAAGCCAAGTCAAGATGCTGCAGAAGGATGTTGAAGATGTTGTTCATGCTTTAAAAGCCTTCAAATGTGGACAAATTAAAAAAGAAACACCTAAGAACTTTGGAAGAAAAGCCTCCAAACAATAAAAGACTAGTTTTTACTATAGATTGCAGAAACCAAAGGTTTTTAGTTTATGGGGTGACATGTAGGGGGTGGTTTCAAACATTTGATTTCATTTAACAGATGAAATAATTTATAAAAGTAGTTGCCTTTGAATTTTCCAGTCCTGAAATATTGAGGGGTGTTGGCAAATAGTTTTTCAAAGCTCTGTGTCTTTTGAGACCAGCACTCACTCAGCTTCTTCTCATCTGCAGCTCATGTTTGTTTATCTTGGGAACAAAATGATCTAATTTATCAGGCGTTCTGCTCTGCAGTTCGTCTTTTTGTGATTCTTACGTTTGCATGAGTCTGGAGCCGTGTGAGGGCGATGCGGGTCTCTGTAGAAGCCAGCTTTGCATTTGTCACACAGACGCCCTTCCGTGTTGTGCAGACAGTCGCACACGCCTCCGCTTCTCTGGCCAGACTCGCGCCATGCCTTCCAGTCAAAATGGCAGCTCTGAGCGTGTCCGTTACACTTACACTCTGGTGATGAAAGAAAAGAATAACAAAGTCAGCAATATTTATTTATTAAGGAGTGTAGATTTTGTCATATAAATAGAAATACAACTAAGAGATGAAACAATCAGATCTTTATACTAAGAGGTGCGCCAAGCAGTAATTATATCTGGTTCTAGCTGTCAGTTCTGATATTAGAACCGGATTTAAAATAAAAAAATTGAATAAAAAAAATTGGCCTTCACTAACTGATCAGGAGTTATAAATGGTATAGGCTGAGTTGGTGTAAAAGAAGATCTGAGTTTAATAAAGGAAAATTAAAAAGGACTTAATGTTTAAGTTTAGGTTTAACATATTTTATCAAAAATACCAGCTAGTAAAGCTAATTCTTAATGTCTTAGCTCCCACCGTTTTATAGTTTGTGCACAAACGAATTGCCTAGCCCAATACCATGTACCTGTAAAGTTATATAAATCCCACATACTTGTGATGTATCTGATTTGAAAGATTAGACCTCTGGTTTTAAAGCGTTCAAAAATAATAACTCAGAATGCATGAAAGTTGCACTGGTAAAATGTTTACCAATAGAGATATGTTAGACATCATTGGAAAGCTTATATTCTCCACAATTCAGCCACCTAGTTCATTTTATGGACATAACGAGCACCACAGCACAATTGACAAAGATATAGCAGCATGTCAAAATGTAGCATGACAAAGCAGCCACAACAAGCAAGCATGTCTTTATTACTGCTGTTCTCAAAAGACCTAATATTTTTGAGAATAAAAAAAACTAATTTGAGTCATGTTTGAACTGATGCAACTTGTTCTTGCAGCTTGGGTGTTTTACTCGCCCAATTTTCATGTATATATTCAGAAACTAGACGGTGTTAGCTTTCAAATAACTTATCACACATGTAATTTGGGCTTACAGTTCCTAAGTTATTTGCTTTTCCATTTGGGTATGCAAAATAGGCCAGAATTTCCCAAAATGAGGTGGATATTAAGACGTTAAACCTCTAGTTTGTGTAGATGGGAACAAACTCTGTATGTTTTTTCACAACCTGAGCTATGTAAATTCTAAAAAATGTCATTTTTTTTTCTCTCATAAAATTTTATTTGTACATAAAAGGTCAATTCCACACAGTTGATCCAAATAAGGATACGTGCCAAACTGAATTATTTGAATTTTATGACAAATTTAACCATACAAAAAACTGATTTCTATATGTAGCTTTACACAACTTGATTCAAGCGCTTTCTTTTACAACATTTTAAATTTTCAGCTTTTAGGATTTTGACTATAAATTTTTTGTGCGTATCCAGTTATTTCTACTCTCGTTTCCGACTTATGGATACTGAGAAAGGAACTTATGCTTGATTCCTGGAGTAGATTGGTAAATAAGCCCAGTTAATGTAATCTAAAATGTAAAATGGCACACATATACATATATCAGTAGATGCATAAAAAATAAGCGTTTATGTATATTACTTTTACTTTTTGTGGAAAAAAAGTAGCTCAGCTGGATAATAATTACATGTGATTTTATTTTATGGAAAATACAACTAGATATTACTTTTATGTGGAGCGTTACGGAAAAAAATTAGCCCATATATGCCAGGATAGAACATGTTTTGTAACACCAGACAAAAACGAGGTAGAAAGTAAAAATTATGAATTTGAATTTGATGACAAATTACTAGTTATTAGTGTTTGTTGCGTATAGTAAGGTTACAATTGAGTTGATAGTTTTCTTTAGGATCGACTTATTCTAAAAAGGTACAACAAAGGGACAAATGGGACGTCAGATCCGACGTCAGGTCGGGTGGTTGGGAACTAAGGGGTTAAAAGAATACATGCTTTACTCTGTTCAGACCTCCTATAGTGTGCTTTAATATAAATTTTATGCATGTCTATCGACATTAAGAAAATGTATCTTCCCTTCAAGCAGCTTCTTAGATGTCTGCTTCACTGATACTGAAAATGACAATTGGTCCCTGACAGTTTTCTTGTCTTCATCACCTGGTTGTGCTAAAGTATGGTGCCTTCAATGACTGGATTTTAGGGCACACACGTGAGGCCGACCAGACGCAAATTAGACTTGCGTAATAAATGGCCCAGTTTAAGTTAATCTATCTCTGGAAAAAAAAAAAAAAGAGTCTAAGCATCTTTGACCAGCTTACTGTGACATTCGTGCGGTGCTCCTGTCAGTCCATCAGCGGGCTGCCAGGGTCGGTCGTTGTAAAGAGGAGCGCAGCGCTCACAGTGATCCCCAGCAGTGTTGTGTCTGCACACGCACTTCCCATGAACCTGCAATAAAAACCATGAAACTCGTTAACTAAAGGAGACGGTATTTAAACACCCAATGAGTCTTTTTGTTAATTCACTAAGACATTTGTTTCTCTAACTGTAGTGTTTTTCTATAATGGGATTTTATTAGAACTTAAGACAGCCTCTGTTCACCATTGTAAATAGTGGGGAACGAAATTTTAGAAATTAGAACATAATTAAGGTTGACATTGAATTATTTATTAAAAAAACAGCAGTATTGTTTAGATTTTAGAGGCACAAAGTGAAGCCAAAGATCATCAGTATATATATCAAAATGTTTTCTCAAGATGGATAAAATAATATTTGCAGTCACAAATTAGAAGAGCAGAGTGTGAGGACGTTCCTGGAATTTATACTCCAATGAACACTTAGATCTGTGAATCCCTTACTCCTTAATTTGGTCTTTCCGTTGAGCAGCTAACATCCAGCTAAAAAAAAGGTATAAATTTCTGTTTGCGTCATCCATCTAACCTTAAAATAAAATAAATGCTTCCAGTTAGTTCTTAAAAGCCTAAAAATATGATTTTCAGGCTGGTTATAAGGTTGCCTGAACAAAACTCCATTCTAACAATACAGAGTGAATAAAAGGACATTATATGAACTTTTTGAGGTAGTGAAAAAGGTTCTCTGGTCAGAAAGATTAATATCCCAGATGTTTCTTTTGGAAGAAATAGTTTGTTTGCTTCAAACTATAGAGGAAAATAAGTCCTACCAGTTCTTTATAGAGGTTCAGATTATTGAGGAATGGCTCCTTCCTGAGGCCCCCTTTTTGTCATTGTCAGGTGGAGATTTTTTAATTATCTGTACCTACACTGGGCTATAGCTTTATAGCCAATTGGTCTATTTTAGAGTAACAATTCTTGCTGGTTTTGATAATCTTTGGTTCTAAACTGGCTAAAACATGAAATTTACTATTCTACACTAAAAATAGATTGTATTAAAGCAAGGTTTGAAATTTATCAAACATTTATTCTTTTTGCCATCAATTAACCATAGAATAAGGCAGGAAAAGGCAATTGGTTTATTGTTTTAGCTTTACACGATTCTGGAAAAAAGAGGTAAAGAAAATGGCTAAAAAAAAGATGTGTATAAAAACTACAGCAGTCAGATACATAGGCAAGCCTGAAAACTTATATAGCAAAAAATTAACCTTGGATTGATAATAGATGAATCTGTCCTGTGCCGATTTGCTTGTGCAGAGAAACACCCATGCAAGATCCCCACTGCCAGTCCTCAAAAGGGAATATGGTCAATTTTGAAGCCTGAATAATGTTGAATTACACTTTTGCACACCTGAAATAATGAGTGCAAGAGGGATGTGCCATTTAATTCACCATAATACATTTTTTCTTTCCAAGCATTTTCTTCTGAAATTAGGGACTGAAGGGTGATTATTTTTGCTTCATTGCTGGAAATAAAAATGGGCCTCTGCGCTGAAAAGGCCTGTGTGTGCGATTACAAGTATGTGTGTATGAGAAGAGTACAAGTATGCAGTGCAGAGAGCACAATAACAGTCTCCTTGTCATTCCTTTGAGCTGGAATGCTATGCATGCTGGATAATGATTGAATGGGGGGGGGGTGCATCTGAGGAAGCTCTTTATTTGTTTGCGTTACACTGTGCAAATGTAATGTAGGACACACAATTATACAATGATTAGGTAGGCACTAATCAACGTGCACACATGCCTGCCAAAGCTGCAAACACACACTGGTGAGGGATGCTCGACACGCTGATCTAAGAACGGCTTTAAATGCATCCACATGCTATAGGAAGGAGCTGTAAACAACAAGCCCTCTGCATTCACCAGCAACAAGCTGCTGCTTTTATAGACCCTATACTCACACTAACCGGGGGCACGGTTGCACAAATAAGAGGTCCAAACAAGCAAGGGGCTGCAGAACCTCATGACATTTCTCACAAAAAGCAAGAAGTGATTCATTAGGAAAGAGAAGACAAGAGATGACAAAAAAGGGTAGATATGGAGAAGACCAGACAGGTGGTATTTAAACCAATTTCACATGTTTACTATGCCGTGATAGGGGACAATTAACAAACGTACACACTGAAAGCTGCATACACCCAGTTGTGTAAACTTAACAGGGCTTGACTCATGGCGCCGATAGAGAACAGCACTTTTGAAAATATAGAGTATAATTCTTTAAATTTTCTTTAAATGTTATTTTGAAAGTTGAAATGTAAGAATTTAACACTGTAGATTATTAGAACATGGAGGTTTAGGTTACTCTAAGTAATCTCCATCGTTATGCTGCTATTGGCTTAGGGTGCTGGAGGACACCACTATTCATCCTTCTATCTATATTTTCCAATTCTGCAGTATTTGTTAGTTCAACAATCTCTGCTTTTACTTGTCAAAGTAGTTTTGTTTGATCGGGTAATGTCTGGCTGTGACTCCTAGATGGAAATATCTGCTGGGCTGCTGCGGTCAATAACTTATATTATAGATTATAGTGTTTTTGGCTTCTTTTTCATTGCTTAGTCCTGTCTCCCCCCGTAAACACATTTCAGCTGTTGCTACATGCTCATTCAGGAAGAGGAAATTTAGCAAAATTAATAACTTGATGCAATTAATTTGTTCATCTTACATGGAAAACATTTAACCAATTCATCTGTATGATCTGATTGCATTTCTCTGTAAAATGCCTTTAAATTTTGAACTGGCGCTATATAAATAAGCTGAATTGAAAGTCTTACAGAGAAACTCTCAACCTGTTTTGTATGACTGACTTTTTCCCCATTATTCCTTGTAACATAGCTAAAGCTCTATCAGATTGAATAGTTGCCCTTTAAAACAGCTTCTCTGACCTGTGCTGTGGAGCTCTGCAGCTCCTCCAGAGTTACCATGTTCCATCTTCTCCATCTGATGCTTTCTTACCCAGCCTGTCAGTTCAAGTGGATGTTCATATCTTGGTATGCTTCCAGCTGTACCAGACTTTTCATAAACTAATGAACAGAATGTGTTAGATTTCTTTATATATGAACTAATTAACAGAATGTCCTAGATTTCTTTAGATATTTTATTTTACTTTGAAAAACGTGCGCCAATAATAATGGATTCATTATATTATGCAATACAGTTTTTATCTTCACTACTGAAGATTCCAAAATGAAATGAATGAAAATGATCTGCCATTGGAACAAGAATTTTGTCCCCTCTTGTAAGATTTTTATATAAACTGAAATTAAAATAAGATAATTGAGATGTTTTCTTCCATATATTACGTGTAAAAAAAAAAAAATACCATTAGCAGATTATTTTACTTCCCTTCTCTACTCAAGTGCAAAACGGACCTAATTCATGAAAATTTTGAGTTTTAGATCACATTTTGCTGTTAACCTAAAGTGAAATAGATGTCTTGACCCGAGTTTCATTCTGATGCAGATTAGTGTGAATCAACACCTTTGATCCCAACATTATCAGTGATGCGTTGCTCTATTCTCCATATCGCAGAAGAAAATTCTAGTCCCTCCAATAATTCCTCTGGAATCTAATTTTCAAAGATTTTAAACTGTAGGAATGCTAGGATGGAAACTTTAAGACATTGTAAAACCAAATTTGCAGTCGAAATGGCACTCCACACAGTTTTTTTGCTTTATCCTTTAAGAAAGACAAAAAAAATCTAACCATAGATTGAAAATAAATTAATCGGATGTCACAGTTGCAGGTGCACATGGAAAAATTGTGAGTATTATAAATTTGGAAAAGCTGGACAGGGACATGAAGAGAGCATGGCTTTAGAGGAGAAACGAAACACAGCTACTCTCAATTAGTGGACTAATTGCTTGTAAAGCAACTGCTGCGGACCGTGGATGTCACCGAGTGTGTGTTGGCTTTGTGGCTAACCATCAGACAGTGTAATCACCCTGAACCGCAAAACCCCTGTGGAGGGACAACAAACAAACGAGCCCTTTTCGTCTTAGCCTCTGAGCAGTAATGACTGTCGGGGCAACTTTCTCTGCACAAGTGGTCACACTTGGTGAAGACAAAACATTGCATTCCTAACAATACTTGAGGTAGACAAAAAAAGGCACAACTATGAGTCAAGTTTATGCAACAGGGAAAGGTAGAATTTCAATTCCTAAAATTTGAATTAAAAACGGTAAAAAAATAAGTAAACATGCATCCCTTCCATCCTTCCTGGGATCAGTTGTAATCTCTGCTCTCATCTCATGTCTTGTGCTGCTCTGCTTATTTGGGTTTTTGCCAGAACCAGCAGCTTTCAGTCAACACGGATGCGAGGCGCAAAATGCTGATAGGCAGGAAATAGCCACTTATATAACCTGTATGTGTTTACAAAATGGTCCAACATGGCTCTTGTTACAGGTCCAACGCCCTGAGGAAATGTGATGAGGAGAGGAAATCTTTGATGCAGCAAGACACATTTCTGTTAAAAGGCAAATAATGAGCCTTTATGACCAGTTATTTTGACATGCAGAGGAGAGGTTTTGAGTCTTGTGGTTTAGAGGCCGGATTTTCTGCCCTCAAAGCAAGGAAATCCTTGTGAAAACCAAAGAGCTACTTGGAATTTCTTGGCATGGCAGTAGTCAGATTTTAAGATTTAAAGGGTTGTGCCCAATAAATCAGATATCAGCAGCTTTCGTCTCAGCAAAGGAAACGCATAAATCCTCCTGTGTACTCATGTAAAATATGCCAAAAATGTTCTGTTCTACATCCAAAGTTGAGATGAAAACCTTTTAGTTGCTTATCTGGGTCTGGTATCTTTGACTTTTGCGTCTTTTAATGGCAGCGTTGGAGGTTTTCAATGCATTGGTTTTGAAATCTCTGCACTTGGCATTCAAAAATAACCAAAAGAAGAAACCCAAACATGTTAGCTTCAGTCTATAAAAGTTAAAACAAATAGATTTGTATCACAAAAGTTTATTTTTCTAAGGTGTCTGATAAGGAAAAGAAGCCAAACAGCTGATGGAGAGATTCTTTATTATAATAAACACCTTTTTTTTCAAGGTTTATTAAGAAAACTTTCACTTTCATGTGAGGCTTTGCTGGTTTCAGATAGGGCTAAGAATCCTTCATTTGTGTCGGTGGAGATTTAGAGATTGACAGGATCTCCCCCATGACACACTTAAAACATGGCCTATTTACACCTTCATCAACAAACACGTATTTCCAACCCATGACCTTGTTATAAACATAGAGGCAGATGTTTATCTGACCTGAGGAAGCAGAAAAGACGGAAAGGTGACCCCTCCTTGAGAATGTTAGAAACAAAACAGCCGACACAAAGAAAACAAACTTCTGCTCTTGAAGTGTCTAATCCAAAAATCTTGATTTTTCACCAAAACATGGAAAAAAAAAATGTCCAGAGGGTGTGATTAGTTTAAGATAATGATCAAAGACTGGAAAAATGTGTCAGTTTATCTAAACAAGACGAAAAAGGAAGAGTGTGCTATCAGCAGCAGTCCTGAAAACAGGTCTATTAGCAATGAGATGGTAACTACTGGCAAGAAATAAAAAGTTCTTTTAAGTCGTTTTTTTAGTCAGGGGTCCAGGATTAGAATAAACTGGCAAAGCTTGATTACAAGCTCTAGTTTGATGGAGAGCTTACACACTGTGACTGTGCTCGCTGTTTATTGGACGTCCTGTGTTGCTTAGAGGCTTCTGCACACAGTTATTACTGCCTATAATGGTGTACATCCGAAGCAGTAATGGTAGTGAATTACAGGTTACAGCCATGTTTAAGCAAACTTTTTTTTTCTCTTAAGATTTCAAAGCCAGTAAAAAATAAGCTGCACACAGTGCTGTTAAATTGTAATTGTCTCCTTACTCATTTATTCACCTTTTTTTATTTTTATTTTTTTGGGGCTCAGAACACCTTCCAGGACAAAGATGGCCTAAAGGATACTATATACATATATATATGTATATATACACCCAGAACGGCAAGAATATTTGCCTGCAAACCTAATATCTGTGCAAATATTTGGCTGAAATTTGCCAAATAGCTTTTTATTCAACCACCTTGGAGAGTTTTTAAGGATGAATGCTCTGATTAGCTTCTCAGTCAGCTCTAAGCGCTTACTTTGGCTAGGCCATTCCAAAACTTTGGTTTTAGGTGGACTTCCTGGTGCACTTTTGATAATTTTCCTTCAAAACTCAAGTCCTCCTTGAGTATTTTCTGGTAGAAAGCTGAATTCAAGGCTTCACTAACTACAAAGTCATCATGTCTTAAAAGGCAGCAAAGCAGCTCAACTACCACCATGTTTGATGGGACTATGGTGTGCTTTCTATAATATCTTGTAAGATTCATGCCAGATTGATCAGGACACCCAAAGCACAGATGCATTGATGAATTTTTGATTTCAGAAGCCGGGGGTGATGCAAGTATTTTGTAATATAACCAACTTCAGCAAACTCAAGGAAGCAGTCCTTCAGTTTGACCTGCGGTTCTCTGCTGGGTCCAAGTGCTCAATGATTGTCTGTGTACTGTAGCATAACATATTTTTTGGACAGTAAAACATGCAGGGGACCAAAACGGACATATTAAAATAAGATTACGTCCATGCACATTCGGCTTTTGGAATTAGCCTTTCTTCTTTTGGGTAAGCAGGGCTTAGTCTAAAAACTCCCCCCAGTCTCTTTTTTTCTAATCATTAAGTCTGATCTTAAAGGTATAGTGGAGGATGTTATTTTTCCGGGTGGATCATCTGAATAAGTGGTCCTCCTAATTGTCAATCATTATGGTGATGTTTACGTAAGGCCGTCCTACGTTAGCCTGGGTGCCATTCCGAACTTAGTCCCGCCCATTGCTCAGTAGTAGCGCGAGTATGATCGCCCACTCTCTGGCGATCCAATCATATTGTCAGGGCGTGCTTTATACGATGATGGACAGATGAACAGTAATGTAATCAACCATGTGACCAAAGCGCGCTTGGGTGACAACAATGGCTGCCGCCGGAAAGTTGAGGTGAGTAGATTCTGCTATTAGGTCTGTTCTAGAAGATATCGACAGCAAATTAATTTTAAAAGAGGAACAGA